TGTCAGTGGATCTGCCTGTTCTGCTCACCACTGTTTTTGGTGAATCCTCTCGTCCCTCTCCCCCACAATTTTGGCCTATACTCCAGATCTTTTATACATACATAAAGAAAATGTATCTTTATTTTTCTAAAGATTTATTTATTCATACAGAACTGGGGTACAGGCCAGAGGTGCGGAGGGTGAGAGGATTCACCAGAGACAGAATGGGGAGCAGAACAGGCAGATCTACGAAGTACACTGCTGAGGGGAGCAGCGGGCGAGCCAGGAGAGGTCTGCCACGCCATGTGGTCACCTCCAGGGCAGGTGGGAATCGAACTCATGCGGAAGTGGCTTAAGCTTCTTAGTGCTGTGCTTTAACCCGCTGCGCCACCAGGGAAGGCCAATAAAATGTATCTTTTATAAAAAAAAAAAAAAAGAATGTGGAAAAAAAATGTAGCAGAAAATTTTATATAGGGTGTGAAAAATGAGGGAGAGTAAGGGTGAGAGGAGAATATGGAAATGAATTTATGGCTAGCATGTGGCCAGACACTACCTGACCTGTCCTAACCTACATAGCGAATGAGGAGCAGAGACTGAGGGCTAAACCAAAGTTGGTGTGGTGAGCTGGTGGCATCTCCAAGGACACACCTTCTTGCCAGGAATCTAACTTCAGAAGACCCAGCCATGGCCTACTTCCCATCAGACTCCACTTAGGATACTAGGGAATGGAGTCCAGAAAATTCCACCTCTACCGTCAAGTTGGCTATGAGAGCCACCCACTGGTTCAGAGGTTGTTCCTCTTTGTTCCTCTTACACTAGCTAGCATCTGTGTTCTAGTGGCTGAAACCTGCAAATTGAATCAGCTGTGATAAAGTTAGGGATCTGAAGACCAATAGATACTTTTGGATTTTGGGGTCCTTATAAATGGGAGGCAGGAAGTCAGAACCAGAGAAGATGACTTGATAAAGGAAACAGATTGGATTGTGGTTGCTGGCTTTACAAAGGAAAAGAGGCTACAGTCAGGGAATGCAGGGAGCTTCTCAAACCTGGAGAAAGCACAGAATGGACTCCCATAGAGCCTCCAGAAGGAACTTAGAGACTTTGATTTTAGCTAGTGAAATTGCCATGTCTCTGCTATGTTCTGTCACTTTTGTGTTAGTTTGCTACACTGGTAATAGGAAACTATTGATAATTCAGATGATCACAACTTTCCACTCTTGTTAGCCCCATCTTCATGCACAATCTTTTTATTGGTGGACCTTAACCTGACTTACATCTTTGTAAATAACACCTTCATTAATTTTTCTTCATTATCCCTTTGAATGTAGCATCTGTTTGTTTGCCAGGTCTTGAATTGTTAAATTCTTACATCTTTTTATTCAGCAAAGTCACTTTTAGGGATTTATTTTATGAAATAGTGGGAGATATTTGCAAATCCTTAGATATATAGAGATATTAACTGTATTATCTATAACAATAAATAGTGTACAATTTCAGAATAGGGGCTTACTAAAGGAATTATAGTGAGAGTCTATGACATAATAGAATGGCAGAAAATGTCAGTGTCACACATGCCCTGGTATAGTTACATGAAAATATCATGTTACAGATGCAGCAACTCTATTGCATCTGTAAGTACACCTGTAGCTTCCTACTTATCTAAATATCCATGAAGTCTGCCATCTGTTTATAGGGAAAGGAAAAACAAGACAAATAATGCTTTTAGTGGTTAACTCTTGCTAGTGGGTGAAGGGTACTATATATTCTTTGTGCTTTTATAGTTTTCAAATTTTCTACAGGGTTTTTGTTAGTTGTCAGAAAGAACATTTTTAAAGCAGTAATGGGACCTACTCATATATGGTAGACAGTTTGCATTATAGAGAAAAATCTTTTTCTGTTTTCACCCACAGTTAGAATAATGATTTCATCGACCTAAAGCTAGTATTGTGAAGCTCCATTACAGATATTTGTGTTATTATCTGACTCTGCTATCATATTATGGGCACTTTGGAGCAGAGGAAGCCCTCAAATTGATTGCTTGTTTTCACATTGCACTATATGCAGCTTTGCAATGTGTTTTCTGAAGGCTTTATGTTGAATTAAACTTATAGATGCTTAATCAAAACATCTATGGAAAGGATCTTATTCCAGACCCACAAAAAACACAAGTAATAGAAAAAAACTGGGGCAATGACAAGAGAATGACAGGCAGAAGAAGGTGAGTCAAATTTCTATATGAGGGAGATAGACAGAAAATAAACAACCTTATTTAAGATGCAAATGGGTAGTGAATTATTTATGTCATATTTTTATCACAGAATTGTTCATTTAAAATTTGTTTACTAAGAGGATTGGATGAAATTAAGTACTTAGCTGAGGTAACATGAGAATTAAGCTGCTCAAAATTCAGATCAGGTACTAGAAGAATAGCACATTGCACTTTCGTCAAGCCAGGCAGAATCTTTAGTTAGTAAAGTGTTGAACAGAGTGACACTCTGGAAATCTGTTTCTCCTTTGGAAAAATCTAGTGAAGGAAATAGGACAAATGCATTAAAAGAGCTGGGTGGAGATACAACACGCTTAGCAGAGTCTACTGCTAAGTATGGCAATCAGTATAGACCATGACAAGAAGCCAAAGAACTAAGATGTGTCTGAAGGGGAGGGACCACATACCCGCGTTTCATTTGAGATTGAGTCTGAGCAAGATGGTAAGACTCCCGGGTGTGCCTTGAAGTCTCTATCCCTACCGCAATATTTTTTCTATTGTAATGAAATGAGTTCTCATACATAACTATTCTTATGCTAGGTCATGAGATTTCTAAGCCATCTTTTTCTAACCCTAATATCTGAGCTGAGGAAAATTGCTAATATCCAGGGGTACTAGCTCACTCCTTTATAAACCATTTTATCCCCATTTTTCAGAAGAGGAAACGAAAGCAGAGTTGTTGGATCAGAAGTCTTAACATGGCCAGGAATTAAACCTTGGTGATCTGCAACAGAGCCTCTGCTGCTTTTTCATTTTGTTATACAAACTATAACCAGGGAAGTTTTTTTTTTCTTTAAAAGATTTATTTATTTATGCATACAGAGCTGGGGTACAGGCCAGAGGTGCAAGTATGGAGAGAGGATTCACCAGAGACAGAGTGGGGAGCAGAACAGGAAGATCCACGAAGTACACTGCTGAAGGGAGCAGGCGGGTCAGGAGAGGTCTGCCACGCCATGTGGATCATCTCCCGGGCAGCGGGGATGGAACTCATGTGGAAGTGGCTTTAGTTTCTTAGTGCTGTGCTTTAACCCACTGTACCACCAGGGAGGGCCGAAAGTTTTTTTTTAAATTATCCCAAGAATGGCAAACAAACTTGAAAAATTTTAGAAAAAAGGATATATTTGGTCTATCGTTTTTAACCTCAGAATGTGTAAGGACAGAGCAACCCCACTACTTTCTTGACAGGGTTGAGGAAATGAGGCCGGAGAGGCTAGGGAACTTGTGGATTCTCAGTTCCCAGAATCCCTGAAGGGCAAAAGGCAACTTTGGGCCTGGGTTTTTTTGTTAGATGATTGGAGGTCTCGTTATTTCAAACAGATTTTTTTAAATCAGTGAGCTGTAATATTGAGTACTGAATAGTCATTTTATTTAACAGTGAATAATAATAAAGGTGAAATCTAGCAATTAATCTCTGTTGCTAGGTATGCTAAAACTTCTCTCATTTCAAGTAAAGGGATTGAAGCAAGCTCAAGATCAAGGAAAGAAGTGTCTCAAGTTTGGCAGATATCTGATGCATTAACAGAAGACGTATTCCAGAATTTCACTTTCAAATCCTGAAACACTATGAAACACAGCAGAAAGGGTAACATGGTAGCTCTCCCAGAGTTGCCATTAACTGATATGTGACCTTTGGCAATGGAATACACATTTAAAAATACGCTGAGTTATTAGTATAGGTCACTCTCCCTTTCTCCTACACATTTGACAAAAATTCATAGTGACAAAGCATAGAGATAGCAATTTTTGACATGATCCCCAAAGACTGCATCATTGGGTTAATTTAATTTGATCTTTGTCACAGACAAAAATCATTGCTACTACTCAAAATATAGCATTGAGACTTTTAAAGAGAGGGCCCATACATGAACATGCTCTTGGGCATTAGCTAGACAGCAGACAAGACCTAAGTGAAAACTTTTTTTTTTTTCACATGTCTGGAAGGTGAGAAACAGCTGTTTGAATTGGATGCAGGGAGCCATGAGAGGCCCTGAGAATGACAGGGAGAGGAGGTTAGATGAGCTGTTAGCGAAGGATTATGCTATAAATTTCAAAGGACTTCAAGAACATACAACACAGTGCCTGGAGCATGTTTTTAAGTGTTGGGGAACAAAGAAAGGTCCTCTGGCCTCAAAAATAACTAATGTGTGATTTTTTTTTCAATAACAGACTATTTTCAACCTAGAGTTTAAAGGAAAGTTTGCCTTGCAAAACTCAAAAACCCTGTTCTGAAATAGAATACGATGCATAGTCGCATTAACGCATCATGACTATTGCTCAATTATTTTAGAGCTGATTACATGGGGAGGGGGATGCAGAGCAGAGGACTATAGACCCTGGAGGGATGGAGATCCCTTTGACTTCTGTGGAAGGTTCCTGCTTGAGGTGGCATTATTAAACCTAATTTATCACTTATAAAATGGAGGCTTATCAAGGCTGAGTTGATAATTGTCAAAAACAGGTAAAATTGGATGCCATTATGTCTGACACCAGGGTCCATATGATTAGCCAAACCACAACTTTTTGAAGCACAGATGGCTTGAGCTTTACTTTGTGACATTTCTGCCTTCCATCTCCCCTCTTTACCCCACCTCACATGCATCTCTTAACTCTTTTGAAGGGAGGAGTATCACCACACCAGGCCTGTCATAGATTCAGAAATAAAGCTCACATAAGAAAGGTGGTATTAAGGCATGAGTCAGGAAAGGGGAGTCACAGTCATTAAAAAAAGTCCAGCCAGACAGCTGACATGCCACCATGGATTAGAATGCAGCATTTTTATTGTAAAAGTCCACGTGTTAGACAATTCCCTTTGTGAAAAGGTTTCAAACACACAAACAGGGAGCAGCTGATAAGAATCAGGTTTTATATAATATATATATATGTACGTGTGTGTATATATATATATATATCTTTGTCAATACTATGCACACATTGGAAAGCTAGCTTTTTGGGGTATCCCCATTACGAAATACATTTCAAGTTGACAATACTAACATGTTTCTCACCATTGAAAATTTGCCAACAATTCTCCCAAAGAGTCAACATTTATTATATTGACAATTCAAAACAAGAAAATAATTCGATTTACATGTGTTTGAGGTTATATACTAGAGCACTGATATATTAAAGGTTTGTAAAATTGGCAGCTAAATGTGTTTTCAAGATTTATCCAGATGACTTTATGATGACTTTTTATGGTTTTCTATTAACAAAGATACTCTTTCTTTGTTATTTTTTCTCAGGCTGTCTATAAAGTTGTATGAACTATGACTGAATTCTAACTTTTAACAATGATTGCCATACAGAAGTATAGAGAAGTGATGCTGTTTTCAGAAAAATAAGGAATCAGGATGAATACATGAAGATGGAGCTCAACTCATGTCTGAAGTCTGGGACTACCACTTTATGTGAATACAGCATAGGCGAATGAGGCCACAGTCATAGGCTCAATTTCCTTGTAAGTCATTGATATTTTTTTCCTACAGAACATAGAATACTACATTTTGAATGCCAGTCAGGTATGAATCCTACTTCAAGCCTGTCATATGCCCTCAATCAGAATCATGGATGGTTTAGGGCTAACTCAGTCCCAAATTTGGAAAAATAATGCACAAACTCTAATTATTCCCTAGCAGACTCATTTCTGTATACAAACACTGGACATGGAAATTGATTTAAAAGGAATAGACACTGGCTCAGACAAAACTTTGATAATGATATAAATATCCAAAGTTCTTTGTATCCTTTGGTTTTTTCTTTTTTTTTTTCCTGCAAATATTACTTGACAGAGTTATGAGAAAAGATGAATAACTGGTCCAGACCAGTGCAGAAAGATTCACTAGAAAAATATGAAGCCATTTTACTTCAGGACAGTTATTGAGCACCAGCTATGTGCCAGGCATTATCCAAGGTGCTGAAGACCTATCGAGGAAAAGACAAATGTTCTGCCCACAAGGCACTCACAAGCACTAAAAGCAGATCTTGTGATGGAAAGAGAGTTGTGTTATGATCTGTCATCCTAAAAGGAAGAAAAAACAGCAGCAAGCATATACAGTTACTTTATGTTCAATGAAACTGGGCATATTTAGAGGTGATAAGTGTCAATTTTTCAGTCTATAGTGTTTCAATATGCCATACAAAGGGAAAATAATGCTGTTTTAATCATCATGCATGAGGAGGAAAGTACAGGAACTTCCTCTCTCCAATTCCAAACCCAGACCCTTATAATTGCTCTCATGATTCTTTTGCAGTCCAGAGACACAGAATAAAAGACAATACTTTATGATGTTAACTTCGATCCATTTATTTTGGCTCTAAGGAGATGCATGCGTTAAACTTGAAGCATTCTACATTACGGAATATTTACATCATTGTACATGAGGTGTGGAGGAAATTTTCTTAAGTTACAGGTAGAGTCAATTTCTAGACTAGCTTCTTATATTGAAAGTGAGTTGTGATTTTTTTTTTTTTTTTTTCAGATGAGGGAGATGGCCTACTGGGATCAAAGTTAAAACCTGCCTCCAAATGAACACAGGATATAGTTTCAGATCTTTTGCATCTAATTGTATTTTGAATTGAAAAGGATGCCACCACTTTAAACAGTTGGGGCTATTATTTTCTCAACTACATTAATTGAAGTAATATTTTGCTTAGTTTCAATGTTCTTGCTCTAATTTCTCTTCACCTTGCAGGTTTGAGACACACAAATGTTACAGTTCAAATTACACTTCCCACCGAAGAGTCGGGCGCAGACAATAAAACGTTATTACAGTTTTCCATGTTAGAACATAGAAGCAGATTCGTTATAAACTACAAAGAGGATGATTTAAGTGGACTTAGAAAGGACATCACTCTCGGTAAGATTTAGTGAATAAGACCCCATGTATTGATGAAACCATACCTTTTTCACAGGTAAAGGTAGGAGACCCAGTAAACCAGATTGAACAAGCAGAAGGCAGTAGGGAAAAAGATCCGTGCATATGAGTCCATTTTAGCAATGCGGATATGTATCCTTCCATGTCTCCATGCTCCTGTTCTGCAATCTTCAAAACAGCAGAAGAAACTGGCACAGTCCTTGCCGTCAAGACACTCATACCCGTATTCTTCATCTCTCTCTTGAAGGTGTGTGGCATTGTTCATTTGAATGGTGGCTGATCGTGGGCGGATATCAATGGTGGGGGCCTGAGATATGGGTAGGGAAGAAGAGATCCCAGTTAGTCACACATGATCAGTCCTAGACAGTTTTCCACAATGTCTCCAATGTGAATGATGGGTCTGAAAATGGTACTCAGGAGGTTGCTATGACATCATGATCTACAATGGTAAAATTGAACTGAGAAGGATAGCATTTGCAAGTGTTCAAATTTTGAGCTTAAGCAGTGCAGCTGAAAATAATACCATCAAGCTAATAGCTATAGCAAGATTGAACACTGAAAGAACTCAAAGTTTAAAGATTTAAATCAAACAACTACATGGAATATTATTCTACTAAATATTAGATGTGAAGTTGGTTACATGAAGGCATTTAATGGTGCTGCATGTGAGTGGAACAGAGAACTGAAATGGATCAATTTAGAAATCAAACTTTGTATCATGCTTACCTATAGGCAAATAAAATACCCCATTACACTGAGCAAAGGTATTAAATGCTAGTAATAGAAAATGTTAAAAGAATATATAAATGTAGAAGTTTCCTGAATTTATACCTCAGTGGCATGGCTTGCATGTCAAAGAATATAGTTTTTCACTTAACATTCACCATCTGAAAGCTTCAAAATGAAGTTTGTGAGCAATGTTTTATGTACCTCCATGTGAGTGGAATTCAGAGGAGCATAGCATTGCCTGCCCAATGCTTCTGAATAGTTGAGAAGAAATGCCAGTTAACTGAAGGCAATCTAATCTATGCTACTGCACCAATTAATTAATTTTAACTTGACTACATTGGTGTTAATATAGTATAACTACAAATCTTAGTGTATGTGAATCAAGATTTAGGAGTAGAAATTTCATTTCAATCTTGCATGCTAGAGCAAAATGGCCTTAGATTAGCCTGGAAGGAAGAGATGGGTGTTTCGACTGAAAGCCTTTCAAAGAGACCATTATTCTTACAGAACCGACAGGTGGAGGTTTGACTAACATAAATCATTAAATGTACTTATCAAAAAATTGCCATGTTTTGAATTAGCATTTACAGAGTAAATTTTAGCTTTCAAAGGGCATAGATGGTAGATAGGTGCAGCCACTGAAAATGGATCCTGTATTCAACTAAGAAAAGGGTAAGTTTGGCTTCTGATGCATAAAAAAGCTGTCTTAGCTACCAATAACTCATGGAGCATATAGTGTATTCTTGTAAGGTCAATGCCTCTGTACGTTAGTGTATTTTTTTTTCATTCACTCTAGAAATCTATAGAAATTTTTCCATCTTACATGTGTTCTTTCTAGTAGAATGTTTAATGTCTGTTCATAAAAAAATAAAATACCATGTAAGCGTTAATAGTTAATTTTAGCAATTGCATGCAGTGAATTTCCATTCCAAAAACATTATACCTTGAAGGAAAACATCCGAAGAAGCTTTGGGTTTGTAGACAGAAAAGAGAATTGCATTTTTTTTTAATTAAAGAAGGAAAAAGAAAAAAAAAGAGACAAAATAAGATAAATTAAAAATACATTTTGAAAAATAGTGAAATGAACTGAAATTATAAACACAGAAGGAAAGTTCTTGTAATAAAGTATATGCCTGAAGCTAAAAAATGGAATTTGGTGATTGTAAGTAAAATCCTCAATAAATTAATCCACATTTATCTAGTGGCAAAAACCAATGCTGCTCAGTTATGAAGAGGCCTCCCATACCTATTTCTTCTCTAGAAATGCTGTGCTTTTGTTTTCTAATTACCAAGCAAACCTGAATGGGTGAGTCTTGACATGAGGAACCAAAGGGCACACTGAAGAAGAAAGTGACATTTTAGTTCCCTGCTCCTATCGTGGGCGCTAGCTGCGTTCTCATAAATCACCCAATTGGCTTAGACAGGGAATGCATGCGGTTCTCAGGTAACTTCTTTTCCTCATTTCCTTAATCCATTTCTCCTCAGCCTTCTGCCATCTTCATGACCCAGGTGCAGAAAGCCTAAGTACTGTTTCTAGGACAGAATCCACTTTGCAATGACATGGCTGTTAAGTGAGGGCAAAAGGGCTTCTGTCAAAGGACTCTTCAAACTTGACTGAAAGCCAGTCCTCACATCCTTAGGACCGCTGGTGGATACTGACACTAGTGTCAATAGAAACATCTTTTGGGGGGGAGAAATGAAAGAAAAGGAAGGGGAGAAAAAAGCAAGACAACAAGGAAAATAAAACAAGGATAGACAATGTAAAGGCAGACAAGCCAGGGAAGAAAAGGCTGCATGAAGCCAGTGAATATTTGGGACATGAAAGAGAAATGCTTCATAGGTTAATCATCAAGATTGGTACATTCCCCTCCCCCCACCTCAGGGGAAGTTGTGATCCGTAGTGGCAACCCTCTACTACCACAGATTGTGCAACCAAGTTTCCCACATGCTGAGGAGTTTGGCAGTGGTGGTCCTCACCCTGGGAAAACCTCCTTTCCTTCATGATCATGGTGTTTTCCCTGCCAAGTAAGTAGCTATTGCTTTTTTTTTTTAACGTGTTACAAAATCCTGCATTCAAATACATGCCAATTATAGACATTCTCCTGGGTTGATGATGCATCAGGATATAATCTAGAAGGAGCTAGATTCCCTCATTATAACTGTTCTCCCCATGCCTGACCCCAAAGTCCACATACCAGGTAGCTAGCCACTATCCTGGCCCTTCCGGCTCTTAGTGCAAGAGACCCACAAAATAGCATAAATTCAGCAGGGTGGGGTAAACTCCATTAAGGAATGGACTCAACTTTTATGGTGCTTCCTATGATCTGGACACCATGTGTAGGTTGGTTAAATAGGCAGTATATGTTCTCTTCAACATCCACAATTTTAAAAAATTTTCTTTTTTTTTTTTAGACATTTGTGTCTCTTCATTGCTAATGTTTGGGGGCAGGATGGAGTCATCCTACCTGATTCCAGATAACGGAAATCAAGACAGATTGGTAACTGTACAGATCACTATCAGCCCTCCATGAAGTACTAAAGTCCAAGACATTAACATCTAAGGTAGTCTGTAATACATTTTATCTCTATTAACACATCTATTTCTCAGTCCCTTAAAATACATTTTTAATACTTATATATGAAAAAAAAATGAAGACAAAGGAAGACTAAGTAGCTTGCCCAAATAATAGTCATTCTTAAATGGTACATTGAGTAAAACACCAATAGAAGTCCTCTGCTCACAACACACTTATGAAACTAACTGTAAAATTGTGGTGAACCTTGGGGCTTCCTAGAGAAAAGCACTGGGTGAAATGTTTAATTTTAAACACCAGTAATTTAAAGCAGGCAGAAATATGAGCATTGATAGAACCTAGAATAATGGCAATTAGGAAATAAATGAATTTCTCAGCCATGGTTACCCTCCTCATGAAATGGACAACAATAAACTGATCAGTCTTTCCCTCGTAGCTGGTGACCTCAAAGAATCTTTCAGGGCCTGATCAAACTCACACATTCTGCTTTCACCTTGGAGCCCAAATTTAGATGCAGACAGGCTAAGCAGCACCAAACAAAGAAAACCAGGTGGCTTTTCTGCATCCATATTTCAAAAGTCCCAACAAGAATTGATACATACAGGGTTTTTCTTCTTTTTGTCTTTGTCCTTGCTGGGTTTCCGGTTGCTGACAAAGTAATGCAGGGTGCCATACTCCACCAGAGCAGAGAAGACAAAGATGAAGCAAACTGATACAAAGAGATCCATTGCTGTAACATAGGACACCTTGGGGAGCGACTTCCGGGCGATGGTGCTTAGGGTGGTCATCGTCAGCACAGTGGTGATACCTGAGGAGAGGCAGTACACACAGGCCCTATGACCACATCACTTGGCAGGTAACTGAGTCACTACCTAAACTAAACCTACTTTTGTGACTTTTGTTAGACAACTTTAGTACCAAGAGGCTTAAGAGAAGTGCATTCACTCAGTGCACAAACATCCCTTCCTATCATGCATCAGCTTCAGTGACATACATGGGACATATGTTGAGAAAACAACCATCAGAGGCCCTGCCCTTGTGGATCTCTACAGGAAGCAAAGATATGTGTGATTGCAAATCATGGTGTATGCCATGGAGAGCAGAAGGGAAGGTAAGAAAACCAGTGCAGTGGAATGTTCAGAGACCTCTTTGAGGAGATGTGTAAGTTTGTTTACTAGTTAGAAGACAGCAAAAAAAAAAAAAAAAAAAAATTCAGATTGAATAAATTAAGGGAGAGTTTTGAAGAAGGCAAACCTTGAACTTTTGAATGGCTACAATCTGAGGAGGGCAGGGTTATGGAGGACATAATAGATAAAAAAAGTAGTCTTTTCTATTTTCAGTGTAAATAAAGAAGTGCTAGAGAAGGTGGGTTGTACGTGAGTGACAAGTTCTGATCAATAAATGCTTAAAGGCTATTACAGGATGGAAATAAGTCTCTTAGAAATTGTACCACTAATTTATTGACTTTTTATAACAGTTATTTCATTTTGGTTTTAGACTTGAGGAAAAGAACTGGTTCTATGCCCAGCCATTAGTGAAGGAGCAGAAACACCATTTGAGCCCAGAAATTGTTTGATTTAAAATCTTGTACCCATTGTGCAGTAGTGCCATGGGATGTTAAATGACAGGGAAAAGAGGGAAAACAGGCGGCATGCATCCGTCAGAGGAGGGTTGGTGACTATGAAATCTGTATTTTTATTTATTTTTTTAGATTTATTTATTTATTCATACAGAACTGGGGTATAGGCCAGAGATGCGGAGGGTGAGAGGATTCACCAGAGACAGAGTGGGGAGCAGCGGGCGGGTCAGGAGAGGTCTGCCATGCCATGTGGTCACCTCCGGGGCAGGCAGGGATCGAACTCATGCGGAAGTGGCTTTAGCTTCTTAGTGCTGTGCTTTAACCCACTGTGCCACCAGGGAGGGTCAAAATCGGTAGTATTTTTAACCATGAAACATGAATCCACTACTTAAGTAGCGTCTAGTGTCAGCTCTGAGAACTCAAATCACCTTAAAAGTGTAGGTCTCAGTCTCCCCTTCTGCTGGGCTAGCTCTCTGAAGGTCTATACACGTCTTACTGTTTGATTCTAATTTCCTATCATGACTGGAAGCAACTGCTCCTATTCTGAAAGGCCATCACCCTTTGTATAATCTGAGAGTGTGAGGCATATAGCCTGATGGCCACTGTAACCTCACTGCTTGGTGTAGTGCTGTGACTTAGTAATAGAGGTTGTTGAGTGAATAAATGAAACAATTCATTGATGAATATTATGTAAATACATATTTACGATACATAGAATATCAAAGAAATTCTACTTACCTTTGAAAACAGGGACCTGTATCGATGCGCTAATTCCATACAGCAGAAATTACTATTGATGGAACTCATTCTGTGTTAGCCACTTACTTGTGTGTGTGTGTGTGTGTGTATATTTTCCCACCTCACAATGAGTTAAGCACTGTTTTGGGGTTTGCTTTGCAGGTGAAAAACTGAACACAGAGAAATAAGAAAGTTGACTAAGCTACAACCCTAGGAAGTGACTTCAAAAGCTAAGTATGCTCTGAACCATGTTGTTGTGTTTCCTCTCTATGAAGTACATGAAATAGGATAATATGGATTTATCATATTGTCATGGTAAAATTTCTTAGAAATGATCAAGTTTCTCATTAATTAATGGGGGAGGTTAACAGATGAGAAACCCCATAAGTTTTTAAATTTATATAATACAGTGTCAATTTCTGTTAGTCTCACTGATAAGAGAGAAGATAAATTTAGTTCTCAAACTAAAAAAGCTTCATATAGGGCATCTACATACTAATTAATGTATGTAGCTCTTGATTGTACATATTTACAATCAATATTTTTGTGCAGGAATTTAAAATCTAAGTTAGTACTTTGGGTTTTACTGTACATTCAGGTCCCAAGCCACACTTATACAAAGTGGAAAATGTCAATATATATGTAGTAGATACCATAGGTAGTTATGAACATCTGGCATGTCTGATATGTAGGATAAACACTACCTCTAGGATATTAGGAAGTTATTTTTAGGCTACCTGGTAGTTCAGTCATATAAAAGCAGAATCAAAGAACTTTCAGTAATAGCTTCAAGTTTCTGACTGGAGCCATAGAGAAGAGAACAATGTAGATTGGGATAGTATTTTTAACTAATCTTCTAGCCAACAGGACAGCTTGATGTGATTTTTAAGTCCAATTTTTAATAAGCAAAGAAAAGTCTCTTACCTGGGATAGATGAAAACTACCCATCAGTTTTATGCATTCCTTCAGCCTTGGTATGCAGTACCCTCTTCAGGCACGTTTTACTGCACCTCAGATTACTTAGATGAAAAATGCTAATTGGTATTTGCATTGTTTTAACCAGTCATTCTATCATGATTAAGCAACATCACCTGGCACCACCCTGTATGCAAACTGCATGATTAGTTCCTAGGTGACTGTTCCCATGTTCCAGGAATCTGACCTCGGGAAACAGTCTCTGAGCTATGTGGTTCTGTGTGTCTGAATCATCAAGCCACTTGTCTGTAACTGTTCTGTGGCAACGAACCTATGCATCCACAGATGTTTAAGGTCATCTGGGTTAACTCATGCTGTCATCCTAGAAGAGGTCAGTGGCAGCATTAGAAATACTTGGGGAACTTCTTGTAGTTTGTTTTTAATCCTGATTCCTGGGCCGTAGTCTCACCAGCTAAGATAGGCCTCTCTTCTGAGACTGAACTAAGGCAGCTAGACTTTTACAGATCCCCTCATAGCTTAAAAGTCTAGTGAAATTTAAGAAAGCACTGAGCTAGAGAAGTGACAGGGCACAAGTAGAGAAACTGACTCAGTTCATTTCTCTACATTTCTCACAACTGGCCTTCCACAAGGTCTCAGCCAACAAATCCAGATGTCATTAGCTGAGGTACAGCTGCACTACTAGTTGGCTGTGTGTGTGACCTTGTGTAGGTCACTTAACCTTGCAGGTCTTTTGCTTTGTGGCTCTAACAATATGATGGAAATTTGTATTAGCATTACAACTTTTACATGCATTTGAAGGGAAAAAAGACATGGGGACTGTACTCAACATGCCTCATGTGTAGTAAACTGTCAATAAATAGAAGCCTCTATCTGCTTTTTGCTCAGGTACTTCTCTCTCCCTCACCTATCACTCACTTCCCTCCTCCCATCCTGGTCTCCTGCTAGTGGATATTCATTTACTGAGTGATTGAAATGAACTACTGAATTGAATTGGCCAGATGAGGGACTCTGGCCAGTCTCACCTCAGTGTAAGAGGCAGATATATCAGAAGGTGACACAATACTTTCTGCTCACAGTGCTGAGGAAGAGTCCTCAAGTAATAGGTTCAACATCAGCATAGTATAAATAGGACTGGTAACATGAAGTACTTCATGTAACAGAAAAAAAATTTTTTTGAAACAGATGGGAGGCTGTTAGGTTTAGAAGAGGACAAATATACAAATAATGGATTTTTTTTCTTCTATTGCCTACTTTAGCCCTCAGTTTTCATGACCTCACATAGGTCATTTTCACAGAAAACAACCCTAGCTGCTAATATTTCTAAGGCCTTGCAGGATTCTGTGTTCTTTGTTTGAAAAGCCCTATTTGACCTAGTAAAACCCCATAAGTTAAGCAAAGAAAAGGACACTTTTATATTAAGGAAACTGATTTTTTTTAGAGCTAAAGGGCACGTCCAAGGTATCTACATATGCAGGATGATTCGTTGGACTTCAGAATCTTAAATTCTTCACTAGTTGAAGAATAAACACAAGATGTGGTTCAAGTTCTTCTGTGGTTTTTTATAATCCCTTTTTCAAGCCTTTTTTCTTAGATCTTTAGAAAATTTTTGCAGGGACCTAAGTTCCTATGTTCATGTGAGTCCATGTGTGTGAACCATCTACATGTAAGGGAGAAGTCTAAAAATCAAAATTATGTTTTTACCATTGACAAATTATGCAAACTGTACATAGTCTTAAAACTAGGGAGAGTCTTAAAACTGTATTTCATAGGTAATTGTGTTTTCCAAGGAGCCTGTTTACAGAGGCCCTTTAATGGCCCTTACTGTGCATGCGTGTCTTCCAATGTCATAACTATGCTACTGAATTTAATCAGCAACCAGTGCTGAGCTGGGAAATGTGTGGCACTTGACTCTAAGTGGTAGCCCTGAGTTAGAGTCTACCATAACTATGTGGTTAAAACTTTCACCTTAGCTGAATTCAAGTTACCAGTGTGACATTGCTGAAGAGAAGGTTGGCCAGGGATCACAAGATCTGCTGAAATTGTTTTTTTTCTCCTTAGTTAATGTAATTATATTAAGAACACTTACTCAAGAAAGCCTAGTGAAGTAACTAAACAGAACTAGGAAACTTCAAACACTGTTACTGCTTTTCAGTATGTTGGGTTTCTTTAAAATGAAACCAATGGCATCTCTATGTAATTTTGACTGGATTTAGAGGCAAATCAATTTAGAAAAGGAATGAAGAGTACTTGTATTGGGTACTTGAATAATTCAGCAAAAATAAATATGTCTTACCTAAAGAAGTTCTGGCTGGGACGGCATCCTTATTGATCCAGAAAGACACCCAGGACAGGACGACAATGAGCGTACAGGGGATATAGGTCTGGATGGTGAAATATCCCATTCTTCTGCTCAGGTCAAAGTAGACAGACATAACCACATAATCTCCTGAAAGAGAATAGATGGCTTCCCTTATCAAAAACTGAAGCTTTTAACAGTAAGCATACATTGATGTTCATATGTTAAAACTTGAAAGCTCTAAATCACCTTATACCTGTGAAAATGGTCTATTATTAGACCAGGAACAACAAGTGTTGGTGAGGGCCTAGAGAAAAAGGAACCTGTTCACCTCTGTTTAGTCTAGCCTCTTTGGAAAACAGTTGCAGATAAAAATATTAATAGTAGATTTACTATATGATCCAGTAATTTCATTCTTTGGTATTTACCCAAAGAATGCAAAAACACTAAAGGGGCATATGAACTCCTATGCTAATAGCAATACTTTTTAAGCACTCTCACTGTGAAAACAACTTAAGTGTCTGAATAAGTGGAGATATAATCGACATGCACAAGAGAGTATTAGGCTGCTTTTAAAAAAAAAATGACAAAGGAATAAACAAAAAGCAAACTAAAACCTTTGTAATCCGACAACAGAATTCAGGCTTCCAGAAAGGGCAGGTGAATAAGGGGTGGGGTGGAAGCAAAACAAGAGGGGGCTCAGCAGATAGTGGAAAATAATTGGTGCCTTCGTGGTGGGTGTGGTGTGATAACATACATTTCTAGAGGTGTAAACCTACAAAAACATTCAAAATGTTGTAATCAATGTTACCTCATAAATAATATAAAAAATATGTAAAATTCCACATCCTTCATTATATATGATTTTAATTGAAGCTTATTGCCTTTTAATGACTAAATTGGAAAATATACTGTGAATACATATGCCAGTTACTATATATGTTTATACTCTCAGAGCATCACTTTCAAAGATTGTATCTGCTCTCACAATGTTAGTTGAACACAAGACCACTTTTCAAATGTTGCTGCTTTTTTCTTTACTAAATTATGTCCTAAAAGGCATGGAGAGTGAAATTCAAAGCATGTGTTTTGATTTAATCATTTGACTCCCTGCCTTTTTCACTCTTGGCTGATTGAGATCTGATTTGAAAATAATGTTCTTTAGAAGCTGGATGCAGACAGAGATGAATGACTGAACGGGTGAGTTGGATATTACTACTCAGTCCAATTCTTCCTTTCCACCCTCAAGCTTCCCTCCATACCCTCTAAAGCTGCTGGGACAGAAAAGCCCTCATGGAATACTCCTGAATGGAGTACTGATACTCCTCCTAACTCTGAGTAGCTCCTAGCTGGTGTTAAGGAAACCTCCTAACCCTGTCCTGTCAAGACTGGGTAAGGCATTCACTGTGACCCACAGACTGAATGGGGAATTAGACTTCCATTGCAATATCCGCTTCTGCTCTGAACTCAGTAAGTAGCAATTATCCTTGAAAACTTTAAGAAATTCTTTAAGATAAAGAGTAGAATATTGCTAGCTGCCTAAGCTTATGCTCGATCTGGACATAAGCTATTTAAAATTGTAGCATTTCATAAATTAGTTTGGACTTTGTTTGTTATGATTTAGATGTAATAGATACAGGCTATGAAGAGTAAAGACTTTTAATTTGAGATAGTGTCTTTTAGTTTCTGTATTTTCCTTTGTTTCTTTGATCAAAATACCGGAGGCAAATGAAAGTTTTCTTAACCACTTTTTTAAAATCTCATATGTCTTTTTAAATAATATTCAGGAGCAAGTTTTCTCCCCTTTGGAGTTTTCTGCATATTTTAAATGAAACTTTAGATTTATGTAAAGTATTTTAATAACTTCTTTTAACTACTTATGATATAAATGAATGAGAAGCTACACTTTGGATTAATGATCTGATCCTTAGAAAGGTGAACTTTAACTTTGCCTAAAGTAACAAGGTAATTATCTCAACTCAATTCTCCACTTCCCTTTGGGTCAGAATCTAAACTGGCATAGCCTATTTATCTAAGTTTCTATTTTAAGGTAATACCTTCTGAGCATCTTCGCCAGCAAATCCAAAGCGTTTCTTCCACTAGATTATAATTCAAACCTCAGAAAGAGTCATTTAAAAGCAAAGCTACTTCACAGTGACAGCCTGATGCCTGTCTTATCTCTAAAGCCACATCAAGGTTTGTGTTTTTAAAAAAAACTCCTGGGCTGAGGAGCCTATAAAATCAAAACCCCTTAAAGTGCTGCATCAGTGGTTCCTCATGCCCAAAGGGTTTAAATGCCAACCACGTCAAAGGTGCTTTCCAGCCACTTTACATCTATTCTGTTCATTTTCCCTCACATTGATATTTTTTAAGATACTATGATTTAAACTAAGTTGATCCTTGTTTTTGTCCTAACATAGTTTATATTACATACAAGCTAAGGTTGAGGTAAAAAAAAAATAATAGGTGTTATTCAATTCACTTATTTAATATTGATTTATTTCTTGTGAATTTGTTATGTCTAGTTTTAGGAAGAGATGGCACATTGTGAATGGGTAATGAATTTTTTTTTTTTTTTAGCTTATGGTGTTAGCCATGTAAAAGCTTTAAAACAGATTCTTAGGATATTGAGGGCCTTATTTCAAACATAGAAACTCATCTTAATAATTTAGGGGACACTTCCCTTCTGCTGAATTATATATTTGTTTTTCTAGTTTTTCTAATTACTAGTCACTATGGCCTCCTGTGTGCATACACTGGACAGAGTAGTTTGTATATATTATTTTTAAACCTCTGAAACACTGTCAGAATGGTAAGTAAACAGGCTTTTCTTTATTCCTCTTCTGATTCTTTACTCCACTAAAATATAGTTGAATGGAGAAGGTATTTTTCTACTGGGTTAACTCTGAAGGCATACTATGCATTAATACTCTTTACGTTCCTTTCTCCAGACAATTTTTCATATGTAATCACTGTTGTACAGAGAGCACAAAGTGGAAATTAAGACCTACAAAATCTCATAAATAAAAAGGATTGAATGGAACACTTTTTTTCTCTGACTATAACTCAGGAGGTGTTGGGACATTGCATTAGTTCAATCTTTATAATGCCTCATTAAACATTTGAAATGATTTTTGGAGGGGGATTTTGACCACAGGCAAGCAAGCTATTTGTTGGTTGCATTTTAATTTGGGGAAATTGTTTTCTGAAATTAAAACAGTCTCTAACATGCCAAATAAATTTTAAGATGGACTGAAGATCCAAGTTAGAGCATGAGTATAAATATTACACAAAGAGAAAATAGAGGAGAATGTAATCTTAGAAAGGATTTATCAAGCACAATATGAAACATAAAAGGAAGGAAATAGATTTAATATGTAAAACTTAGAACTTTGTATTATAAAGAATGCTCCAGCTGATTTTAAAAGGCAAACTTTTGAATAAGACTTCCAAAATAAGGATTCTCACTAATTGTTGAGAAAGAAAATCTAAAATTTTTACTATGCTAAGCAAAATGAGCAACTCATGGACACTAAATACATGAAAAGATTCTCAACTTTGGTAGTTATCAGTGAGATGCAAAGAAAAGTGATATTTTATTTTTATCCTAACAGATTAGAGGGGAAATAAACTGATAGGTGGTTTCCAGAACTAACAAGACAGGGTCAAAGAGCAGAGCTCTACTCCCTTGAAGGCAGTATAAACTAACCAACTTTCCAGAGGTAATAATGCAAGTTCATAAAACACATATAGTACTGTTACTTCTAGGACTAATACTGCAAGAAAGAAAAACAGTTAAACATTGCTTTCCTATCGGCACCAAGTCTTTCTCAAGGTTTGCTATCTACTCAAAAGAATGAGGTCACTACCCAGTCTGTGGGTAGAGTCCATAGCATGGTGAGGGAGAGAAGATTATTGGTCACTAACTGCTGTGCATACTATACCCAGTCTTTCTGGACCCAACACTGCTCACTCTTCTTAGGGGTGCTTGTAAGGAGTGGCTCTCCTTAGCCATTCTGGAATTACCTACAGCATATTCTAGCAACTACGTTCTGGGATAAGGACAGGACAGTTCTCAACACATTTTTGCTATTCCCCAAGGGTTGTTACACAAAAGTTCAAAAACTTGCTTCCATAAATGACCTTGATTTTTTTTTTTAATACCATTTCTGATCTTTCCACAACTTATCGAGTTGGCTGCTTTGTGAAAAGAGAGTTGCAGACTCAGAAGAAAAGAATGACAGACCTCGAGACCAGACTGGCTCACCTTGGCAATGGCTACAAACAATGCATGCCCCCCAAGCTGCAGCAGATCAGTGTTCACAACCAGCAACAGCTCGATTTTAGCCAAGTCTACTCCAGATCTAAAGCCTGCATAACCCCCCCCCCGGCCCCCAAGAGTCTCTCCCTCATGTCCTAAGATATCCACAGAGATCTCTTTCCTTACTGTTTTGCTAATCAATAAACACTGCTGTGTTGCCTGCCTCTACACTGTCTCTAAAGTCCTCTTGACCAGAGGGTCTCAAAAGCAGGACCCCTAGGTTTACCCCACTGACTCCCAGCAGGTGATCCACAGCTGGTTCACCCCCAGTTTATGCGTCTGTGTAGTTAGGGATGGGGTTGGCCCACTCCCTTGTCCAGTGACAGTCCCTGCCATCAAGACGTCAGACAAGGAGAGACCTGTAAACAGTATCACTACTCAATAGCATTAGAGCCCCGGGAAACAAGCCCGCTGATTTATCTTACACACCTGAATATATGACATTTCTGGCAAGCACATTTCTAAAAGTTCTCATTAAATGATGCTAGTCTTAACAATTCTTAAAGAAATCCATGATCCTCTTCAAGGAGTCCAAACTCCTTCGCCTGGTATGCCAGGCTAACTAGGTCTGAATTTAGCCTAGATCTTTCTCGTTCCTTTCATGGTCTTTAGGCCCTAAACACAGTAAATACTTGTCATTTTATACCCCCATTATTTTGTCTTTGTTCTTCCTGAATCATCTCCCAGATTCCTAACTCATCTCCATGCCCCACCCCCCAACCTCAGTCTACACTTCATACTTCCAGCCAGACTCCCATCACCCCACCACACACACATTGTTTTGTGACCAGACTTTTGCTAAGGCTGTGACCATCTTAAGTCAAAATTA